TTACGCGACAAATCAAAGGTAAGTGTTATGTTTATGATTTCAGGGAAAACATACCTCAATAATATCTAAGTTACCACTTACTACGTGGCAAATTCAGCAAGGGTTGAATAAACCGTTTAGGTGGCTATAATAAACGTTGTTTAATCAATGTCTTCGAATTTTGAATTTACTTAAACTTACGAAAAACGTCTCGATTTTATCTCACTGCACTATCAAGTTTTCTTCAATTTTGCTGACTAACTCGCCTCGTATTGTTCTGTTTGTTTACTTCTATCGTTCACTTCGCCCGACAACAGTGTTTCGCTCGCGAGGGTTCAGTCAATTGGTTCACCACCAATTCGCCGCAACGAGGGGTATCGGCGACAGGTATGTTACCACGAAATAGCACTTGGGCGTACAAAATTTACATGATAAGGGGCCATTCAATAATTACGTAATCTTTAGTCGTAATCGTCCTTAAAATTGCAAAATGGAATGGAAGGAATATTATTCCAATATTTACTTAAGGACAAGATTTATAGAATCAACAAATAACCACTGTCATTTTTCGGCGGCCATTTTTCGGATTCTCGTCGGATTTCTCCTTCCCATGGTAGAACAGGTGATCCACAACTTTTCGTTCCGTCTCATGTTTGTCAATCTACCATATCAGTGAATTTTATATTTTGAAATTCCGGGTTTTCCCGGTTACATCTCAAACATTTCCCGGATGTTAATATTCAGTAAAAAAACCGAAAGTAAGTGCTGTAGGGTTAACTACCCTATTTCCGGCCTATTAAGCACAATCCGCACGTAGTCTTTCTTAATCTAGCGCAGTTTAGCACCAAACGGAATGTTATTATTACTGATGGCTTCCAAATTAATTTACCTTTCCGTACGTACCGTAAGATTTGATAAAGAGAAGCCAATCGTTGAGATATTGTCAAAAGTCTAACACTGCTTCTTGACGTCAAACTCGGCCTACGAATTCTAAACTCGGCCTAATGCATTGAAACGCCAATGAATTCACTTCGGCCTATCGGATGAAGATAAAACATGATTCGGTCTGAGCGCTTCTTTTGTTTATGGGAATAATGGGTGCAAACCTTAATATCGCGCGTTCTCATTGACTTCGTTCCATAGCTTATTAACTAAAGTATCGTACCAAACGCATAATTGACTTGTTAACTCTGAAATCATGGATTTATTTGAAGTTGTCTGCTCGATAGGCCCAAAATGGGCGATTAGGCCGAACTACTACTCTACCCTAATAATAAAGCAATTAAAAAAAAATTAAATGATACCAGAGATACTTCGAATCAATGTGAATATTGTTTTAAGCTCGGGTCCTATTATGGTTTCATAGCACCAGAATTAACAAAGTAACAGAGTCATGTATTTTTTAACTTAGAAGTTAACACTTTCGGGCTGCATGGGAATTTATGAGTGAGAGATTGAATTAACACACTGTTTTATTTAGAACAGGTAAAAATCCATTTGGACCTGTGGTTGGCAGCCGGAACAAAAAAAAACCGGAAAAGTCCCGAGCAAAATGCGAGTCGATTCATATTGACAAACGCTCTCAGCGGTCCCCTAATAAAAATTGTATGGTTAATTTGCTTAACGACGTGTTCTGGGTATCATCCAAACCATTTGTGGAATAGTTCAATGATTTGGGTTATCGTTCGTTTATGGTTATTTTTTATTAGGGTCGTCATCTGCCCATCGGTCTGAATGAACACCAGCCTAGGGGCAAGACAGCTTTTGATCATGAGTTAGAACGGAGTTAATTTTAAATACTCTGAGTAACTCGAGCTGCTCAAAATTTTGTTAGTATTGACTCAGTAGCCATGTTTTTTTCGTCCTGTTTTGTTGTGCTCTTCTCCCAGTTGTCAAACAACAATACATTCTAACCCCGTTTGATACCGGAACATCATTCTCAAATTACGTCGCTGTTCGTCCTCCGGAATGTAGTCTAGCCCATCACCAATCGATTCTAAACGATTAATTGTTCCATACTGTTTTCAAATTCAGCATAAGCCTTCTAGTTGGACATATTTACTAGAAGACGTTTGGTTTACCCGGCCTTGAATTAAAAAACCACGGCTCTCAAAATATTCCAATGATCTTTACGGGGGCAGTGATAAAATTAAATGCAGCAATGTAGCAGTTTCTGGGTTACAGGTTATATTTAATTATTTTTTATTATTCCAACTGGACATTGTACATTACACATTAATGAAATTGCAGCAAGAAATTTACTTTTTTTGATATTTGCAAAATGCCATTATCTAGGATTTAATGAAAATAAGAATCTGGCATTCATTTATTCTTATAAATCATTTTATTACTCGATTATTCAATGAAAAATGTCCCATCCTTCTTGAATAGGTAACTCATCCACTCCTTGGTTCAGTACTTGTATCAACTCAATAAATTACACAAATAGAATTTAAATCTTAGATCTTAGCAAAATTGTGACACGGATTCGCAGGTGTTGGATTGAAAGGTTCTGCGATGCTTATCCGACGTCCCTACTCAGTAAGGAGGAATCTCTTTATCGGTTCGACAAAGCGTGGCCTTGTTGTCAATGACCGACATAGTCAGAACGAACCACCTCAGCATCGGAATCAGTTCCACATAACCACGAAACTGCCATTCCAGCCCAAGATGGAATGATGACACAGTACTCACGGTCCGCTAGTGTTGGTGAATTATTTGCCGTTAATGTTCATAAAAAGTTTACCATTATGCCATAAACGATGCCAAAAAATCAAAATACGGACGGATTTGGACCTGCCTTGCTAAATTGATTTCCTACGCAAGTGATCAATCTTTGATGTGAATTCCGCGAATAAACACGAGGAGGATTGATAATAGCAAAACTTGCCATGTTCATTTTAGTAAACAAACTAACACTTCTTCCTTCTGTGTCACCTGTACTAATCCATCTACATACCAGCCCACTATCAAACTGCCATCTCACTAATCAACGGTACACAAGTAACCGTACCAAAAACCTTGCTGATAGGATAAGCACAGTATCATCCGCCATCATCGGAATCGGGTCCGGAACCTCATCACAAGCGTTCGTTGGATTTCAGTCGATGTTTATTTAAACTGATGACAGATGATGTTTATTCAAAATGTTTTCACTTGTTGACGTAAGACTACTTTGATCACTTTTGAGTAATTATGAGTAACTCAAATTTACTCGATGCAAAAATATTAACTCGGAGTACAGCTGGCTTGCCCCTAGACACCAGCTCTCTATAAGCATGGCATCCTACGCTTCCGATGTCTATCTGAGTCAACTCTCCCAGCTGCTTTCACCAGATCTCTGTCAGCTTGGCATCCAAGGCATCCTAGGATTTCGACGTCTAGTGGAGTCGACGCTCCCACCGGCCCTGATCTGTCATTCAATCGGGTTGAACATCAGCTCTCTGTCATCATCTTTGATAGCATGGCATCCTACGCAACAACATGTAACTGATTCAACGCTCCTAGCCACCATCATCTTCAGTCTGGTTGAACATCAGTTCCCTGTCAGGTAACTTAGACTGGTATATGTCTGGCCGAAGCCAGTGATATTACGCCCCTAATGGATCGAACAACAAATAGTTCCAGATCCGCAATATCTGCTTCTCGGTGACATCGCTAACTTGGCATCTATTGCATCCTACGTTTCCGACGTCTAGTGGAGTCGACGCTCCCACCGGTCCTCATCTGTGCTTCGGTCGGTTTGAATATCAGCTCTCTGTCAGCAACATTGATAGCAAGGCATCACACGCCCCGACATGTAACTGAGTTGACGCTCCAAGCGGCCATCATTTTCGGTCTGGTTGATCACTAGGTCTCTGTCAGGTCAGGACTTAGAGTGATACTGCGCCCCTAATTGTTTGTACAACAAATGGTTCCAGATCCGCAATGTTAGCTTGGCATCTTTCGTTCCTGACGTTTAGCTGTTCCAACGCTCCCAGCGGTCATCATCTGCCCTTCGGTCAGATTGATCACCAACTTTCTGTCAGCATGGTATCGACGTCTGGCCGATTCATCGCAGTCCACGTTCCGTTCACTAGCAACTGTCCCCTTCATCTGTTGAACTGTGCACTGACAATCGTCCTTAGATACTACATCTGCCTATCTGTGTAAATATTAGAAAAGCTTTCATCACCTCATGATCGTTCAACCCTTGCACATCGTGAGCCCCCTAGCTTCACTACCAACAACAGAGAGAACTAAGTTGAAGTTTCGATTCAGTGTTTTAGAGTATTAATAAAGACGCAGTTCAGATTGGACGTATTTTGATTTTAATTCGACACAAATCAACCGAAAACCAATCCATTGAGCTATTTTTATAAACATTTGGTCCTTCGAGCCGGATATTGATGGTTTTTATGTTGGTTTGGGCCGAAATTCAGTGAAAAAAGTGTACTTTTCCGCAAATTTGCACCGTGTGCAAATAATTCGGCACTCTGCCATTCGACGCTTCGTACCCGCGGTCCTACCGTTGTGTGTGTGCGAGTGCGAATCATGTTGTGACGTGTCCGGAGCACGAAACAAAAATAAAATTGGATGCTGCCGTGCAGCAAGTACTTTTTTCGTGGAAGTTGCTCGTAGCAACTAATCAAAAGCACAAAAGTGCTAGTGGAAGCTGTTAGAGGCTCGAAGAAATCGGGCATTAGATGCTGCCAAGCAGCAAGTGCATGTTTTCGCGTTGAAGTTGAACAAAAGCACTAGGACGTTGGATGCTGCCGTGCAGCAAGTGCAAGTGTTTAAGCTGCTTGTAGCAGTCGAACATAAACCAGAACTTTGGATGCTGCCGTGCAGCAAGTGCTCGTATAGAAACTTTACCCTACATGAGTGGAAAAAACCCCAGCGATGTTACCCCAAAAGTGTTGCGAAACATAACCCCGAAGAATTTGTTGGATGCTCTGCTTGGATCGGTGTCGAATTGTCAACCTGCGGGAACAGTGGCACAACAGAAAGCAGCGCAAGCAAAACGATTAGAGCAGCAAAAAATGGAGCAGAATCTCGATAGGTTGTTGGATCGGCGCGATCTGTTGAAGGTGAAGCTATTCCAGATTGCAGAAGAGCTAGAAGAAGAGTCGAATCTCGAGTCGAATAATATTCACTGGCTCAATTTGCAGATGGAAAATATACGTCGGTGTTACGATGACAACGAGAAGATACATTTTGAGATTTGTGATATCGTCGCTCGGGAGCATCGAAAGGAGTACACGGAGGAGTATTTCCGTTATAATAAATACCACAACAAGTTGTTCGTGAAGATCCAGACTGCAATTTCGAAGCTGAAGAATGATGAAGACAAAGCGAAGCAAGAAGCGCAGAAACTCCCAGTAGCATCGCTCGTACCACAGCAACCGATTGTGGTGAATGCTGCTGCCCCGCATTTGCAAGTACCGTTGCCGACTTTCGATGGAAACCTCGAGAACTGGTACTCGTTCAAATGCATGTTCCAGACTATCATGGACAGGTATCCGAACGAGTCTCCTGCGATCAAGCTTTATCATCTGAAAAACTCGCTTATTGGAAGTGCTTCCGATAAAATTGACCAGGATGTGATCAATAATAATGATTACATGGCAGCATGGAAGGTGCTCGAACACGCATATGAAGATGAAAGGCTGATCATCGATACGCACATCGATGCATTGGAGATGTTGCCAAGAATGACACGTGAACACGGAGAAGAGTTACGAAAGTTGATCGAAAGCTGCTCGAAACACGTCGATGCACTGAAGAATCTTCAACTGCCCGTGGCAGGACTAGGAGAGATGATCCTTATCAACACAATTGCCAAGCGTTTGGATAAGGTCACGCGTACGCTGTGGGAGTCGCAGCTAGACCAAGATGAACGACCGTCGTTCAGCGAGATGATGGATTTCCTTCGTGAACGATGCCGAATACTACAGAAAGTAAAGGGTTATCCGGAGCACCGGGTGCAACCAAATATAGTGAAGCAAAAGGGAAAACTGGAATCGAGGAACTTATCAGCGAAGAACTTCGTTCAAGTAGTCAAGGAATGCTGTCCCTGTTGCAGCAGTGATCATGCAATCTACAAATGTGAAGAATTCAAGAAGTTGAGTGTTGCTGATCGTTACAACAGAGTGAAGATATGTGGCTTATGTTTTAACTGCCTTCGTCGCGGTCATCGTACGGTGGATTGTAAGTGTGAGCAATCATGCAAGACGTGTCGGAGAAAGCACCATAGTCTCCTCCACGAAGACATCACAAATGCCAGGAAAGATTCGCCTATCCAAGTTTCAGCTACCGCTACAACTAGTAGCAATGGGCAATCTACTGTTCAAACCCAAGGATCTGTGAACTGTGCCCAATTACAAACCATGAAGAAACAAGTGCTGCTATCAACCGCAAACGTTCTGGTATGTGGATCAGGAGGTTTCAAACAGGCGTGTCGTGCACTCCTGGATTCGGGATCCGACTCCAACATCATGTCTGAAAAGTTCGCTAGGAGTTTGAATATAGCTTGGGAGAGGATCGATCTACCTATTACTGGCTTGAACAATGCTGAGACTCAGGTCAGGTATAAGCTGCGGACGAAGATTATTTCTCGTGTAAACCAGTTCGAAGCTGTTTTGGACTTCCTGGTGGTTCCCAAGGTAATCGCTAATCTGCCGATGGTTGAAGTCGATATACGCTCGTGGCCGATTCCTGCTGGACTTTCATTGGCTGACCCATCTTTCCACGTACCTGATGAGGTTCAGCTGATTATTGGTGCCGAGCTATTTTACGATCTGCTCAAGGAAGGAAGGATGAAGATAAACAACGAATGCCCTACTTTGGTGGAAACTCAACTTGGATGGATCGTTAGTGGCTCAGTGTACACCAGCAGCAACAAGCGTCAACGTACCGTTTGCCATCTAGCGGTAACCAATGAAGATTTAAATCAAACCTTGACGAAGTTTTGGGAACTCGAAGCTTGTGGTGACGCGTCTTCACTCACTGCAGAAGAACATGCTGTTGAAACGCATTTCGAACGAACAGTATCACGGGATGACGACGGTAGGTACACCGTTAGACTTCCATTCAACAATAAAAAGGATCAACTTGGCGACTCCCATGAAACTGCTCATCGGCGATTCAAGAAGCTATTACGTACATTCATCGACGATTCGAAGAGGATCCGCTATACAGCATTCATGTCGGAGTATCTGACATTGGGTCATATGGTGGAAGTGGCGGACAATCCTTGTGATGGATATTTTCTACCGCACCACGCGGTATACAAAGAAGCAAGCTCGACGACGAAACTCCGTGTAGTTTTTGACGCTTCGGCGAAGACAACGTCTGGTCTGTCGCTGAACGACACGTTAAATGTAGGTCCCACCGTACAAAGCGATCTGGTATCGATTATACTACGCTTTTGCTCCCATCAAGTGGTACTGACAGCGGATGTTCCGAAAATGTACCGCCAGGTAGGAGTTCACAAGGATGACTGGAGGTATCAAAGAACGTTGTGGCTAGACGAACAAAACCAAATCACGACGTTTGAACTGACAACTGTTACTTACGGTTGCTCCAGTGCACCGTATCTTGCAACACGGGTACTTGTTCAACTAGCCAAGGATGAGGAACACGATCTACCGCTTGCGGCGAAAGTAGTGGTAGAAGATAGCTATGTTGATGATTTTCTTACTGGAGGAAGAACAGCGGATGAAGTGATCGAGATTTACCGGCAGCTATCGGAAATGCTGAAGCGAGGAGGTTTCGGTGTTCATAAGTTTTGTTCTAATGATCAGACTGTGCTCAACAATATTCCGGAAGAGCTTCAGGAGACCCGAATGGATTTTGAAAATGCGGCTATAAACAACACGATCAAGACATTAGGAATCATTTGGAATCCGAACCAGGATTATTTCGGCTTCTACGTGAAGGCATTGGATTCCAGGAACAGTTCTCCGCCAACGAAGCGAAACGTTCTTTCTGATATTGGCCATCTGTTTGATCCGTTGGGTTTTCTTGGGCCGATTATCACAACGGCGAAGCTGGTCATGCAAGATCTATGGCGCCTAGGTGTGGCATGGGATGAAGAACTGCCACAGGAGCAGATGGAGGATTGGATGAACTTCCGGCAGCAACTTCCGGTGGTGAACAAAATGAAGAAGAAGCGATGCGTGATCTCTGACACGGGCAACGGCGTAGAACTCCATGGATTCTCGGACGCTTCTAACAAGGCGTACGGTGCAGTACTTTACACCAGATGCGTTTTCCCTGATGGAACAATCAATATTGAATTGGTTTGCAGCAAGTCGCGGGTCGCTCCGCTGAAACCATCCACTATTCCACGATTGGAATTGTGCGGAGCTTTACTCCTGGCTCACCTCGTGACGAAGACGATCGCAGCTATGAAGATCTCGTTCAAAAGTGTGACACTTTGGTGCGACTCGCAAGTGGTTTTGTGTTGGTTGAAAAAGTCACCGCTTGCTATGAATCAGTTTGTTTCCAACCGTGTAGCAACTATCATCGAGTTGACGCAAGATTACGACTGGCAGTATGTGCGATCTGAAAACAACCCCGCCGATTTGATTTCGCGAGGTCTGTTGCCTGAAGCACTCGAGGAGCATGTTTTGTGGTGGAAAGGATCACCGATCCTGCGAGAACCAGAACCTCGTACAGATGAGTACGATGGTACCATCGAGATACCTGAACTACGGATAAGCACGGTCAGCGTAGTGAAGAATGTACCACCGATCAATTTCAACAGAATAAGCAATTTTAGACGTTTGCAAAGGGCATGGGTGTACGTATTGCGGTTCATTGCGAACACTCGTACGAAGACTAGGAATCTCTCAGAACCAACAGTTCAGGAAATGGATGAAGCACTTCGTACTGTTGTGAAACTGGTTCAACAAGAAGCATTTGGCGATCTTTTCAAGGTTTTATCCAGTGGTTCACAGAAGCGGAACAACTATAGCGGACTATCCCCATTTGTAGATTCGGATGGCTTGATCAGAGTTGGAGGACGGCTCAAGTATTCATCGATTCCGTACGACGGTAAACACCAGATCCTACTACCAGATAAGCATCAAGTTACTCGTACCCTGGTAAGGAAGCTCCACGAAGAACATTTGCACGTTGGGCAACGCGGTCTGCTGTCGATTGTACGTGAAAGATTTTGGCCGGTTAATGCGAAATCATTGATCAAGAAGACTATTGTTACCTGTTACGCGTGCTGTAGAAACAATCCTCGACCGTCAAGTCAGTATATGGGAGATCTGCCAGATTATCGCATCACACCGTCACCAGTGTTTGCGAACACAGGAGTGGACTATGCTGGTCCAGTTATACTTAAAGAAGCTGGGCGAAAGACTGTTCAGTACAAAGCGTACATTGCAGTGTTCATCTGTTTGGCAACTAAAGCCATTCATCTTGAGTTGGTTTCTAACCTAACAACAGACAACTTCGTTGCTGCCTTGCAACGATTTATAAGCAGACGTGGCATGGTTAGCAACATTTATTCCGACAATGGAACCACATTTGTTGGAGCAAACCACGAACTGGCAGCCCTGCGTACACTTTTCGAAGATCAAGGCCACCAGAGAAAACTGAACGATTTCTGCATTACCAAGAGTATTCAATGGCATTTTATTCCCCCACGAAGTCCCCATTTCGGTGGTATCTGGGAAGCGGGCGTTAAATCGGCGAAGCATCACTTGAAGCGTGTGGTTGGCGAGACCAAGTTAACTTACGAAGAAATGTCTACATTCCTGGCACAGACAGAGGCTATTTTGAACAGTCGACCGCTCATTCCAGTATCCGATGATCCAAACGACGTCGAAGTTTTGACACCCTCACATTTCCTTATCGGGCGATCTGCTGTATGTCTTCCGGAACCATCCTACGACCAAGAAAAAATCGGCCGACTTAGCCGTTGGCAACACATACAGCTAATGAAGGAGCACTTTTGGAAGCGTTGGTCGGGAGAATATTTGCATCATCTTCAATCACGCCCAAAATGGCATAACGGCATCACCAAATTTGAGGTTGGATCACTTGTGGTACTTAAGGACGACAACGCACCACCCCATCAGTGGCGTATCGGCCGCATCCAATCTACCCACCCAGGGAAGGATGGGATTGTACGAGTAGTGACTGTGAAAACATCGACGGGAGAGTATCGGCGAGCTATTACCAAAGTTTGCCTTCTTCCTTTGGTTGATCCTGTGGAATCAACGGGGGGAGAATGATCGTTCAACCCTTGCACATCGTGAGCCCCCTAGCTTCACTACCAACAACAGAGAGAACTAAGTTGAAGTTTCGATTCAGTGTTTTAGAGTATTAATAAAGACGCAGTTCAGATTGGACGTATTTTGATTTTAATTCGACACAAATCAACCGAAAACCAATCCATTGAGCTATTTTTATAAACACCTCATCTCCTTAAAATAGTGCAAACTCACTGGAGATGTCTCGAATCATGTGAAAATTTCCTTTTTGTAATTTAAAAAAAGGTGATGAGGTTTAATGCCTGCTGGAGGATGGGCTACATTGTAATGCTCTAGTCCAGCGGGCTTTTCCCTGCTCCATAAAAATAAATAAATAAAAAAAAAGTCGTTGGTCCCCGGTTCATGAGTTGATGGGTCATAGGTAGGGCCGTAGGGTCCAAGTGTGGAAAAATCATGAGTGTATTGAAAATATTCCATCTCAATTCCTTTGCCGGATAGCCGAAAAATGGTCCTATGGATATCCGTAATCACCGGGAAAAAGATCAATTCTAAAAGTAGACTTAAACCCTGCGCTTTGATCAGTGAGTCAATTGGGCATCGTTGTGCCAGGTTGATAGTGGCACAATTTGACTTTCGAGAATGAGAAGGTGATTGCAGTTTGCTCAAAAGTGCCTGAGTAAAATGCAAGTACTTTCGATGATTATCCGTAGTTGCGATAGTGAAGATGTATACCCATATTCTCGTTTATGTCCGGGCGTGTTTGCCGGGGAAGATGGGTTTCGGGTGTTGGAACATTGAGAAATGTATCGTTTTAGTTTAAGAAGTACTTCACTTCGTAACCGATGAACCATTCTTATGGCCCACATCCCGGGCAAGGATTATACCAAATTGCTGACAAGTTCTGATACCCGGTTATCAAGATTTGATAACTGTGCGTGTTGAATAAACAGCCAACATAACAAAAATTATAACAAAAGAATACTTCTGAGATATCACAAAAATGACTGTTTTAGTTATCATCGAAAACATCTTGATAACAAATCCTGTAACCCATGCCAATTTTTTCAACAAAATTCCAATTTTTTATCGATTTGGTATTGAAGCCTTACATTGGCAGTGTTTTTTTTTTCACCATGTGGATAATATTTGAAGTTTTGAACTAATCTCGCATCATTTCATATTCCTTCATGATACCAACTTATAACAAAATTAGTCGAGGTTGATAACTAAATTAGTTATGCGACAACAACTGAAAACAAAATGATATCTGGAATAACAAGACTTTTTTTCAAGATGATATCAGGTTGTTATTTTACTTTGCTCGGGATTACCGTCAGGCGCCGTGGCTTGGCAGGGTCCAATATGGGTTAGCTAGATGTTTATAAAGTACTATCAGTTAAAACTGTATTTTTGAGCTTTATCTCTATATATTATTTGGTGTTTCCAAGTAACCATATAGTCACAGAGTGAGACAATGTCACTAAGATACAATATGGTTAGTTGGGTTTTCAGATGACACCATTACTTTAAAAAACTAATCATGGTTGTAACTCTTTTTCGTTTGCATGTAACACTATTTGATATTACTAACCATATCATTCCGGGTGGTGAGCGAACCTGAATAAGAAGAAGATGGCTATACAGTATGAGTATGAGTATGAGCTGCTTCTCGGAATGAGTGTATTGTTAATGGACCTGGTCTAAAGTTCAAGATTGGCTTCTGTGATGATTGATATCACATAAAAGGTAAAATAGGTAGAAAATAATCATAACTAGATGAAATGCAAATTTATATGATAGATAACTGGATCAACGATGTTTAAACATGCGCATTCAATCTCGACGACTTCTAATTCTGCATATCAACACCACCTTTGACTCTCCATTCTCTTATTCCTCACCTATGCATCTACGCTTCTATGTTAAGAATCAACTTAGCACTCATTTAATTTCGGCAGATTTCAATCGACTCGTATATTTTTGTAGACGTTATGCTTTTAATTATTTGATTATTATATTATATATAACTCTACATCAAAAATTCGGGATGAGTAGGCGATTTGGATGGGGAGAGTGAAGATGTCAACTCCCTGTTACTAACATTTCGTGGATAAAAGGCGGGCTCTTCTTCCCATTCATTGGGGTATCTTCCTGGTGGATGGCTCGTTTTCTGACCAATTTGTAGATCAAGTTGTTGGAAGGAGATTCTTAACAGTCCCAAGGAAAGGAATAGGCGAATTGCCTATCAATCCATCCATTCGTTTTTGGCCTTTCATACAGCGATTTGCTGATGACAATCAGAGGTTATTACGCTTGATCAAGTTCAACAGTGAGGAGAACCCACAGCTATCGGACTTATTTCCGTGCTATAATGAGTGGTAGACCACTATCATCATCATCATCATCATTTCCTAAAAGTAGATTTAGAGCATAGAGGAAATATGCCATCACCATATCGATCCTGCTACCGGGTGGCCAGACAATGGTCCTCTGGATATTTAGAATCACCGGGAAAATGGTTAATACAGATTTTAAATATTGTATGAGAAACGGAAACAGAACGTTCTTTGCATGCCAAAAATTCGATAATAGCTCAATTTTGATCAATAATAATAATAAATGATATTTCGCTGCTAATAATAAATACAATCATATTACAAATTCTTTTGAACAATATATCTTATGGTATACTAATCTTATAAGAAATCGGAACAACAATTCAGAAATCCGGAGAACTGTTTTCCAGCAAACTGGCAGCAGGATCGATATGGTGTTGGCATATTTCCTCTATGCTCAAGATTGTATGCAATTTATAAAAAAAGGAAATACTGGTACAGTTCAATCTCAGATTGAATAAAGCTTTCGAGTGACTATGATTGATGTTTTCAGCAAATTCATGATCCGTTTCTTACCTAGATTTACTCCATGATACGAGAAGAGGTGCTTGGCATGGAAATTTTCTCATCCTTAGAAGTTCTTTTCTAATTGTTTCCGAACTCAACGCTAGGGGAAGAAATTCACATAGTTCTCCTAAACCTTACATATGAAACACTTGTCTTTAATCCCATTATATTTTGTTTTCTCGTTTTGCGGCCGGATTCTTCCGGTGGGAAATCGTAAGAACAACGCTTTTACCTTCAAAATTCTGTAAGTAAATTCCATCTTCCAGCAACATCACAATACTAAAACTTCACTGAGAAAATAAAACCACTTTATGCTGTCAAGGTAATGCTTGTCTACGTATCTTTGAATCATTGTTCAATCATAAATATGCTAATATGGGCGTGCCGTAGAACAGTTGGAAGAGGCGCAGCTACAAAGCAAGATCATGATGGGAGTGACTGGGTTCGGTACCCGGTTCCGGTCTAAGAATTTATCGGATTAGAAAATTTCTCGACTTCCTTGGGCATTAGACTGATGCAAAATTTGACTTTTTCGCTCCACAGTGCTTAAATGGTTTCAAATCGGGTCCTGATTAGCCGCCCAAAGTTACAACTCATTTGGTTAGAAACAGACTTCTCACAAGCCATTTGAAGTTTACATGTTAATTACTATGGGAAATCTCAACTTTTTGTTCATTCCTTCTAGTCTTTTTCCATATTTAGCTGCGAAACAGTTCGATAGCCATTTTAATAGAAAATTTACTCAGCTACAACTTTGCTGAAGATTGTTTCTATATAAAACGAGACAGGAAAAAGTTATTAATTATTTAAGAGATTGGTAAACTTATGACATGATCAAGCAGCTGCTCTGTAGGCAACACTGTATTTTGCAGTGTGACATAGTAGCCATGATTTTTGTGTCCTATTCAACGCCCCAGAAACACCAATGTTGCCTGCTGAGCAGTTGATTGAGCATGATCATAAGACATCAGCGCATTGAACCATTGATAACTTTCGATCCTTGCATTTAATCAAAAAGTGGTCTTCAACAAAGTTGTAGCTGGGAAAATTTCCCTCAAGTACAGTTGAAAGCTTTTGAAGGAGACCGATATGGTGAATTATTAGATAGACATGAACAAAAATCTTGGTTTTACCATAGTAATTCCCATACAAACTTCAAATGGTTTGTGCCATCTCAGTATCTCACCAAATGGGTTCAAATTTTGAGAGGTTAGTCAGGATCCGATTTGGAATCGTTTAAGTATTGTGGAGCAAAAATTTAAATTTAATTTTGCATCACTCTATTGGGCATACTGTATGATTGTACACACAAGTATATCAATGCAAAAAAACAGGCAGGAACAGGCATCGAAAGCTCTCAATCAATAACTATGAAAGTGCATCTAGAACACTAAGTTGAGAGCACGTAATAAGCTAATAGCATTTTATGCCATAAGCAATAAGCTTGAAATGCGAAGAAGGAGAATAAAAAGAATCTACCTACTCCAAGGAAAAAAAATGAGCTAATCAGACTGTTAAGAACACAATAAGGAACCAGAACTACAACAATTCAAAAAAATCAACCTCTTCTCCTAACTCCTTACCCCCCGAAGAGATGAACCAGCCTATGGCTGAAAGCCCGTTAATAAAGATAACCTAAATTTAACTCTTTACCATTCTTTCATTTGCTCAAAGGGGCTCCAATGCACTCATAAGGATTGATTTTTGCTGGACACAGCTGGATCGAAAAAAGGCACCAATCTACTTGAAGGATAAGTCTGGTCAGACGCAATTAGGTGTAACATATATTAAAGATGCACATACCGATTTGGAGGTTAAATTTTGCAAACACCTAACAACATCTAGCGTCTACAGGATCTCAGTTCAATTAAAAAATGTACCAACACCCAGTGGGAGCTCAATTTATATTAGGCCCAAAATAATCGAAATATCCTTTTATTTGAATAAATTTTGCTCAACATTGAGCAACCACAAGTTCACAACTCAATTTGAAGTTTGAAATGAACAACCATCCTCAAACTACACCGAGTAATTAAACTGTTTATTTACTATCGAATTCAGTCATACTTATTAATAAGTTTCTGTATTCTGAATTTTAATGAAATTCTAAGATTACCTGATTTTTCAGGTCCAACAGTGAATTCCCTGATATTCCCTGATTTTACAAGGTTTTACACGTAGTCGACACCCTGCTGTTTCATAGCGGTCGTATTGTAACAAATGGAAGAGTTGTCAGTCTTCTTGATATGTTGTCTTCGACAAAACCTTTAATAAGTCTAGTAAACTTCACCTTCGTATTAAGTGTACATACCATGTATCAAGGCAGCTAAGACCGGTAGTTCTATGGGTATGAAACGTGGACGATGTTCGAGAGGGGACTGCAAGCACAGGGAGTTTTCGAGCGACGCGAGCTGGGACCATTTTGAAATAAACCATTGGGGTACTTGTATGAAAATGACGTATGGAGGAGACGAATGAACTATGGAACTCAGCATTCAAAAAGTTGATGATGCTGAATTCGAACCGGGCAGGACAATCTGGCCGATGGTTGGACCAAACAAAGTTTCATCGAAGAACGTAGCACCAGGAAAAGTAAAGCGATGGATGTTCTCAAATTTTCTACTTAGTGCACACAACTGGACGGATCGAAACAATTCGAATATATTCACTTTTCACGAGAGAAATTAATTATCTACCACTAGCCTATAGTTCATCTCATTCTCTTTGCTGTTAATGCAGTTTTACTCATACATACTAACGCCTAGCAGAATTAAATTATATACACTCTGGCTCCATCTAGAAGACCGTCTATTAATTCACTTGTTTATTACACACTATTAACTAAGTGGTTGCGAAATAGAATTTCACCTGATGTGTCTCCTCTTTTTTTTTTTTTTTTGGAAGATCGCAATAACACGAGACATATAAAATGTAACAAAGACAAAACCGGAGAATTAGAAGCTTAGGATTAGGATGTTTTGTGGGTCAATAGTTGAAATTACAAAGGAACGGAGAAGACCAAAGGAACCATCACATTTTGTGTAACCGATGGAAGAGGGGAGCATCAAAATAACGTCTCGCTCTCTCGAAAAGGAACCTGAACACCACTAAACAACGGTTTGTCGTTGTTGCTTCTGCTTTTCTTTTTCAAGCGTTCATTTATCACTAAAATTTCACAATCTACACCACTAGTTTCTTAAATTTCTGTGTTTTTGCTTTGTTCCCGAACCGGGAAGTGTCGGGATTATGTTACTTCCTATTTACATTTTTTTGCACTATTTTCAAATTTTTATGTCCATTCCACGACTGTCTCGTATCGCATCGAGTGCGACCGGAACACGCACATGGAAAAAGAATTATGTTGTCACAATAGAAATCGAAGCTTCCTACCTGTATGATGCTTAGATGTACGTGCATATTCTATCACATGAGGGGCGCCTTACTGTTTGACGCGAAGCTTGGTGTTCTCTTCTTCTTCCGAGGCCTGGGACGTGCTGTTACTATTCGGGGCATCCGGTCCATTGCTGGCCGAATTCGACTGGTTCCGACGGACGTAGACCGGTTCGGTTTGACCTCGCGCACAATCTTCCGTAATGTGAACAGTTTTCACGTCCGATCCAGGCACTTCGAACATCGGTTCCAGCAGTAGCGTTTCCTGTGAAAATGCATTCATTAGATTTCGGTAATGTTTCGTATAACCGAACCCTACCATAATGGCTCTTAATCCACGGGCACCGGTTTGTCTTTCCATGGCTAGTTGAGCGATTTGCTTGAGGGCATCTTCCTCGAAGGTAAGCTCAACTTGATCCATACCCAGCAGGGCTTTGTACTGTGGCACCAGAGCGTTACGAGGCTCGGTCAGAATGCGCACCAACATGTCCACATCTAGACTGTGGAATGGAACGAGCACCGGGAAACGACCGACAAATTCCTATCAACAGAAAAATTTAATGTTAACAGGTAGCTAAAATGTAGTGTAAAAATGCAACTTACGGGAATCATTCCAAATTCCACCAAATCCTTAGCTTGTACTTTCTTCAGATTGGCATCACGTTCAACTTGATCGTTGTCCATGGGTGCGGCCGAAGCTTGAGCTGCACGGCGACCTGCGGATGAGCTGGCTGGCATGCCGAAGCCCAAATACTGGAATGAAAGAATTTACGGTTTCAATACAAATGCTTCTCCTATGTCAGAGTCAGAGGTTTTGGGCTTATTTGGACTACGGAGCTCTGATTTTTTTCGGACTAATACTTGGCGCAGTATCTTTATCCCTTAACACTGGCTTCTTGCAAAATATGAGTCCAGAATTTAAATATTTTTTTTTTGTGTTTTCGATTTGGAACATCAAGTACTTTTTTTTTTCAACCCAATGCCAATAGACCGAATGGGACATTTGGCCGAAAACCTTTGGGCCGAGTGGGTTACTGGGCCGAATTTTTAAGAGATTCAAGTTAGAAGTCTCTGGCACTTTCAAATAAGTTTTTTTTCAAGATCTGAGAAAAAAATACAAAATTATGGGACTTCGTAAATATAGAAACAGAAGTGAATCCTCGATCCACGAAATGTTTAATATTTTCAAGGCTCTATAACTTTCTATTTTTGAAAAGCTTTGGAAAATTGTCTAGACTTTAAAGTCATATAATTCAAATGAGCAATATTTAAAAATTCTGGACCTTCGAGAAATTCTTAGGCTTGGATTTCCGCCATTTTGACTGTTCATCTCCATAAGTAGTTCGCTTTTGAGTTGGCAAACGGTTTGGAATACAGTGCTTTCCCGACTTCTAATATTTCTATGAACATCAAGTCAATCAAAGTAATTAGTGAGAGCACTCTACTATTCAAGTTTGACAGCTGAAGACTGGGTTGTTTTAAGTAAGGCAATGGAAGTTTTAAAAGTCTGCCTCATTTGAAAAAAAAATAGCATGAAATGTAACATTTCCTGTAAAATGATTAATTTCTTACTTTGGTTCGCCCACGGGGCGATTTGCCTCTTGTTTATCATCGAATCCAGGATTAACATAAATGCTAATCAATCGATCGGCACTCCAAGTGTTTGATGGGAACACTCTACTGTATCTACGTCATTCTGGTAAGCATATTTAAAAATATATTTATTCCATCTTTATGCAGTCTGAGGCATCTAATATTGACGCTCTGGGGCATGTCACTATTTCGTTGTGTGGCATACTATACTTCTAGTATAGAGCATACGGTCGTTTTGTTGTAGAAGAAAATTATATGATAGATTGACCATATTGCCCCGCGTAGTTGAAGAGCCTAGAATGTTGGGTATTGTCGAAATATGTTTCCCAAACGTTTTGTTAACTGCCATCGAAGGAAAAAAAATGATTAAAAGTTATTTCTAACGTCTAAAGCAATGGATCATCGTCATTACTCTGTTAATTGAAGGGAAAACGGTACAAATATAACCGTTTTTCCTTAAGGCGGGCGTATTATACCTGTTTACCTTATGTTGGTTCTTGTTACACATAGTTAGCAATCTATTCGCAAGTGCTCCAGTCTCACAACAAGACAATCAGTTTGCTTACCTTCTCATTCAGTCGCCTGGCGATCAACCGGTCCAGTCCCGTGTACGCACCGGACGCCACAAACAGAATATTGGTCGTATCCACCTGGACGGTTTCACCCCGCAGCTTCCGCGGTGAATTCCGCTCTGGCACATTCACGATGGTTCCTTCCAGCATTTTCAGCATACCCTGCTGGACTCCCTCGCCACCGACATCCCTCAGCTGGTGGATTCCGGGAACGGCACCGATCTTGTCGACCTCATCCAGGAACACAATACCGGTCTGAGCACGGTCCACACTGCAACAGTTGAGTCATGTTAATTATTTGAAACGAATGTTTGTTTAATACAAAATTACCTGTAATTGGCATCTTGCAGCAGTTTGGCGATGACACTTTCGATATCTTCACCGACGTAGCCGGCTTGCGTCAGCGTGGTACAATCACAGATGGCAAATGGGACATCCAAACACTTGGCTATCGTTTGCGCTAGCAGTGTTTTTCCCGAACCAGTTGGTCCCAACATTAGGATGTTGCTTTTTTCCAGTTTAAGCTCGTGGGTTTTCTTGTCTAGTAATTCTGAGCCCGGATGATGTGCTTGCGAGGCATTTGATGAAGTCAGAGGTGGACGGGGCACTTCTGAGGGGGCAGAACTCATCATTGTATGACCAATGCCGGAGATGTGTAGCAAGTCTCCACTGCGGGACATCGAATCAATTTGCTGCGCTCCCGATTGACTTCCGCTGCTCGCCGGTGAAGGAAGATTGTGGTAGATTCGTTTGTAATGATTATACACAGCCACGGAGAGTACCTTCTTGGCCAGCTCCTGACCAACGACGTGCCTGTCGAGGTATTCCATAATCTTTTTCGGCGGTGGCGGTGGTTTCCGTTGACCCTTGGTTTCTGTGTCTTTGATGGTCTTTTTGGAGTCCACTTCACTAAGCACAACGAAGAAGTGATGACATTTCTCACATTTTACGAACCTTGTGGAACTGACGAAGGTTTCCACGTGGGTGCAAGGGTCACCACACTTTGGGCAGGAGAGAACGTTCTTTTTGTTTGGAGGTTCCTTGCCGTTGCCATCTTTACCACCACCGGAACTGGAGGCGGAAGAGCCACCCCCGGAGCCGGATCCGGGTGTGTTTGAGCCATCCTTGGAAGATGTTTCACATGCAGTCGAAACGTGGAACCGTCGCAGGTGCTGGTGATTGTGTCCTTTCGGGTGGTTGGCACTGCCGGCTTGACTGCAGCATTGGGTGTGGTCTGAGAAAGCACAGTGTTGGTTGTTGTGCTGGTGTGACGCTACCAGACAGAGTAAACCTGGAAGAGAGAGAGAGAGAAGGGTACGATTCAGTATTCTGAGGATGTTCTGTGTTCTTTTTATGGCCTATAGCTTTAGGTCTTAAGAAACCCAACTAGTATCCGCTAAATAGTGTGAACAGCAGCGTTACAAATGTGTTGAATACATTCTGCAATAACAACTTCATCACCGATGGACATGCCCTCAAAAACGTTGTGGTTTTCTTGAACAAGCGTGCGCAACAGTGTAGCTATTTCTCACTCCGGCCACGCCGCCTATTATTTGTATAGATCAATCGAATAGAAGCATAAATAAATCAATCATGCAACCGCTTGTATCGACCGCTTTTATGGCACCTGATCAGCACTACCTTATTATTGTAGTAGGCTGCGCTACCACAGCCACCCATAGACCGTAGTAGGCATAATGCTGACCTTCGCACAAGAAACCAAGGCAGAGACAAAAAATAATAAAACAAAACGCTACAGCTGATTGGAAGGTAATTTGTTTCCTCCTACCACCCCACACACACTCGCTACTTTGCACAGTTTTTGCGGTTACCTGTTTATATCAAAAATCAAAGCAATAAAACCCACCTTCCCTGAGGCAATACCTGTCGAGCCTTCGGAAAGTTAATTGAACCCACATCTTCTCAGTCGAATCGTCTGACTGACAGCACTCTCTTTGGCACCTTGGTATTTACAAAAAAAATGCAGGTACCATTTCGGATTACGCAAGTGTCCCGTAGAAACACATTAACCGGCGATACACTTTTCATCACAGCAGTAATAGCCACAAAATGTTACGGTTAATGGTGATGAAAAGCAGAACATCAAAACCGACGCAGGTTACCATCAAGTAGGCCGACCCAAATTACTAAGCAATTTGAATCTGGTTGCTTAGGGGCCAGAGGTGACTTCGAGTGCCACCCGAAAATAGTAAATGATCATCATGAGTCAAAACCATTGACAGAGGGGTTAAGAAAAGAAGGCCTACTTAGACACCATGCCGATCAGTATGGGCTTTATGAGTGTGACGGCTTGGAGGTGACGGGAATCTATGTCAAAAGAGCACCTACCTACGCGCATGATGGTTTTTGAAGGTACTTGGTGACGGATTTGAATTCAATGGAGATGACCTTGACTGTTTAGGATGGTTTACACACCATTTTTAGAAGGTAATTTCAAACGGTTCGATAAAACGGTGAAACGAATCATACTGAACTATGGAGTCGTGCAGTAGCAACTAAAAATAAGAAAGGCATCTATCGTTCAGAATCAAAAAGGCCTAACTGCGATGATCGATTCTCTTCGTATTACCTCAGTTCAGTGAACCAATTTTCCGAAATTATCACAATACCGTGTAGTGAAAGGTTGTACTAGCTAGCAAAAGCAACATCGAACGTATCGAGCAATGTTAATCTAGCAGAGATATTAACAAAAGAAAAAATCGATGAAGAGAATCGATCGCAGTTAGGCCAATGAAATTCAGGAACGAGTTGTAAGCCTGAGTTTTAGTAATAGATTCAAGTTGATTTGAGTATTGAAAACAAAATAAACGAAGAAAAGGGGGACTGTTATGCGAATAGCGGCAGAGTAGATTTTCTGACGCTATTCGCATAACAGTCCCATATAAATGGGAATTCTACACGTTAACTTGAAAGTGAACCCATTTTGAAGAAAAGTCCAGAAGAAGTCCGAAAAGTCTTCCGGGGTAAGCAGTGATGGAAAAGTTCGTGAAAACTCACTATGAGTCACGAACTTTTCCCTTGGTGAACTACATGAAATATCGCGAACTTTTCCATCACTGGGGGTTAGATGTTAGATTGAATCTTCCGAGCGAAATAGAAAAAAAGGCGAAGTCAGAAGACCCTTCTAGAGGAACCCAGTAAGACTGTTGAGGAAATGTACTCTAATGAACTTCCTACTGAAATCAGTATAGAACCTTCTCGGATGAGCCAGAAAAAAAAATTACAAAGTAAGCCGGTAGGACAAGGACAAGTTGCCTAACATATTCGCAGATAGTTTGGTAGAACTTCCGGGAAATTTCAGAAGAAAAGAAAAGAAAAGAAAATAGCAAACAATGTCTACTCCCAGAGAAAGCCACTAAGACGTTAAAGGGGAAGTTGCAAGAATCATCCGGGAATGTTTAAAGAAATATCCCTGGAGCGTTGGATGAAATTTTCGAATGACGTTGAAAGGAATCTCCGGGTAATAAGTGAAAAGACTTTCGGGTGAAGTCGGAAGAATCTTCCGAGGGAAGTCCGAGAAGCTTCCTGCGGGAATTCACAAAAATCATAAGTGTATTGGTCGAAAATATTTTATATTTCATTAATCGTTCGATAGTTAGTTTACTTAATAGGCAAAAGCTTAAACAAACTACAAGCGACAGCCCTATGGGGTTGTACGCAATGGTGACGTAGGACGCTTGGCATAGATGGCCCACAGCGACTTACAAAGAGCTACTGATTCCGAACAATAGCGGTGCGGCTTCTTCCTCCTTCTATGGATGCTCATATGGGCTGCAGCTCACTGCTTGCAGGCAGCCTTACATTGTGTGTAAACACCGTTTGGTGAGACCGGATGGAATTCAACTTTGAACTCTGTGTTAGGGAAATCGCTTTTCGCAGGCAATCGGTGATAATTTAAATTATCATAGCAACAGTTGCACATTCGTGTAATTTTCAATAGTCACATTTTGAAAAATGATAAAGTCTTAAATTCGACAGATGCGTAGAAATATTTCTAACCGATTGGTGATAAAATTATTGAAATTGGTCCAGGGACAGCTGAGTTATTAACGTTCAAAATCTTTCATATTTTTTTTACATGTTCCATTTTCGGTTTCACAAAGTGTACCCCCTTATAGAAATCACGGACGTAGTCTACGTCAAAAATTTACATTATAAAGAAACAACTATCAATAAGTATGCTTAATGCCTAGTTGGTCACTGAATATAAATATTTCACGATTTCTGGATATTTTTATGAAGAGTCATCAGCTGTTTCCCAATTTTCGGATGAACAAAAATAACCAGCCTACTAGCAAACAACTGTTTAGAATCAAAACGCGTTCTGGGATACTTCATGCGTTTGCATTAGACTTACAAAGGCCGACATCAAAGAACATCAACGATTGATAAGGTACAAAAGTCTCATAGCAGTACTTTAAGTATTTTTAAGCTTCGTTCAGCCTCACCAAAGTATTTCGTAGGGAAAGCGGCCTTAAATGAAGAAATTGTTTCAACGTACAGCATTAGTAAGTATATGGTTGACTGTCATTAGACGGCAAACAAAAATGAGTCTATGAGAACTATGAATAATGACTACATCAAAGCGTTGGAAAACAAATGTGTAAACCCGTTTTTATACATTTTATTTTCTACGAAAACCCATGGGTAAATTAATAGCCAAAGAGGTTCGGCTCGTTTCTCCGAGGCCGTCGGAAAGTATATTAACCTTAATAAAGGACTTATGTAACCGACAAGAATCTAATGATCATTGTAAGGGCTACAACAGGTGTAGAAACTTTGACTAATTATGCTATTATTGCACAGGGGGGGTAAAGGCTTCTCTTTTCACCATACAGCCTCAATGTAATGTGGTAATCTGTCCGTCTAGCTTTACGCGTGAGTTTGTGTGCATATGTGTGTGGGTACATATTAGCTGATTAGATCATTTGATATAACGACCTCTGAGCAAAGTAATAATCGCCGCATTAAGTACAAACAAGGTTCGCGACAAATACATGACAGTAGGCGACGTCTTCCTAGCCTGAACCAAGCAGGCGATGTCGTTGCGTGGCGAAGACACTAACCGCAAAAACCACGTGCTTTGTTTGACGAAATTTTATGCATCCATCAAAACGCGGAGAGGGTCGACGCCGCACAAAAATACACAATATCCAGTCGACGTGTTGTCATTGCGCTTGGCAATTGTCAAGCAATGCGTCATCAGTTATCATCCGTCCATAGGCGCAGAGCGCTTATTGAATTAACCGTACGCAAATGATACCTCCGGTGCTCTTGTCGGCGGCGTCTTCGTCGTCTTTCGATCACTCCTCCAAGCAAGCTTTTTTGTTTCTGTTTGACTCACTTTTGCGATTATTTGTTTACATTCAACCGGGTACGACTTAATTCAGGGGCAAACCCGCCTGCGGTATATCAACATTGGAAACAGTAGTACTGCTGGCACAAAGAGATTGTAAAAATGGAGCTGACCGTCGCACGTCCGTTGAACGTCTGTGATACGAGCGAGCAGCGTTGAATTGTAATTATCATTGGTGAGTTCGCGTGCCACTGCGTCAGAAACTCATAGATAAAGGTTACAGTTGGTTCGCTTTGCAAAAGGTGACCTGGAACATTTATGTTTGTTTGTGGAATACAGTAGGCCATGAAAGTTCTACTGGTAAACATATTAATTGCATTTTTTGGTTAGCACCATCGTAGTATGCCGTATACGTTTTTGTTATCGAGGAATCTTTTAAATGAGAAACCTATTCATGGTTGTTGGAGCAGAATAAGTGGAACGCACGAACAGCTATAATGTAGAACAAATTTAGATTTTGAAAAAGCTAGCTTACTCTACACGTATCAGCACAATGTATACCATCCAAGTTGTACTGATCCTGACGGTCGTCCGGTTAGGGTTTGCACAGAAAGACCTAGATTTCTCATCCATAGGTGGTAAAAACACTTCGCGACCTTTTACAATCAAGGTCCTAAAAATGATCTGTCCAGATCAACCGTACGGCTACACTGTGGTAAAAACGTGCAAAGCAAAACTAGCTAGAAATCAACCCACCAAGCTGAACATGGCCGTGGATATCCAACGACCAGCTAACAAATTGTTCCTGTCCTACGTGTTGAACTATAAATACAACACATACAAACCGCTGCTGTTTGACGACTCCTTTGACCTATGCCGCTTCATGCTCGAGCAAGGTACCGGAAACAATCTGCTGATGAATTTTATGTACCAAGTCGCCAAATCGCAGATCAGTTGGCTACACAAATGTCCATACGAGGTAATTGTCACTGTGCTCGGTAATTTTACTCCTCTAAGAGTATAAGGTTATCGTTTTGTGCTTTGCAGGGTTTAGTCAACATGACAGATTTTGTGCTCGATGAGAGCTTGATGCCAACCTTCCTGCCAGCCGGAGATTTCCGTTCAGATACTAGGATTTTCGATGATAGCAATGAAACGATCGTGTACCTCCAGATATTCTACAGCATACGGGCTAAAGGGCTCTTTGACCTTTCCATGGGCTGAATTGATTGATTTTGCTGAATTACACTAATTTAAGGGGACATTAGGGTGGCTAAAATTATTTCAAATCGCAGATCTTATACTGCACTGCCCTGCTATACTACCCATAATCACATATCAGTCCCATCTTTGCTTGATTTCCTATCCATATGGGACTGATATGCGATTATGGGCAGTATATGAATGCTATAAAATACTTTTAATAATACAACAATACATTTTACAGTGAATTGGGATTTGGTAGCAAAAAAGGTTAACGTGAAAGTGACCTAGTGAGTGAATGAAAATTTCAAAAATGGTTATCTCCGAGACTTCACTTCAGATTGGAAAAAGCTCTCGTCGTTTTGGGCGAAATAATAAAAGGAAAACATCGACGACAGCTTATTTTATTCTGAAGCGGTGTCACAGCAATATTTCTTTTTTTATAAATTTTTCATTTATTCATTGCTTACTTTCACCTTAAGTATGAAGATCAGCAGCTTCTTTATTAATTATTCTTCTAAAATGTATTCTATCTTCTTCTTATAATAAAATATATATTTTGAATCGGCTAAGAATGGGATGGAAAAAAAAAGGAAAATGAATCTATGAGTGTGTACATTACACGCTTGAAAGTTGACTCATTACAGAAAAAAATTTCACCCATTTTGAAGAAAAGGGGCCTAACTAATTAATGGGTATATTGTTTACCCACTTAAAGAGTACCTGTTACCCATTAATGAATAAATTTCACCTAAAGGTTGAACAAGAAAAAAAAAACCGTACACAAAAATCTTGTTGGTGTTTAAAAATGCGTTTTATTTTCATAGTTTAGTAGGTATTATGCTTTTTGTAAGACCATTGCTTCAGACTTCCTTCTTACCATAGCCCATTGCATAAACTTTTCTTCGTACACGGCCCATCTTCTTTTGCACGAGCCCTGTTCTCACTTGTTGTTGCCAAATTCCATTTTCGCTTGAAGTCCTTCAGGTCAATTGCAGTTCCACCCTTTTTCTTCAATATGTGCTTCACATTGGCCAGCAGGGTATCCATTCAAATTCCATTTTGCAATTCCCGGTTTTTTCCCGGTTAGTAAAAAAAAACTCTACCTTAAACAAAAAAGATAATGATAAAATTTTGTCAGCAGAATTCCTCTACAATATGCAGGGCTGGTAGTGGGTATTTTATACAATAGTATTGACTACAGTAACGAAAAAAGTGACCAAATAGTGACTTTAAAACAATAAAATAGTGACCATTTATTGATCGGAAAGATATTAAAGATATGGAACTAATCTGTGGTTGAATGCAATCCGCTTTGACAAATGTTATAAATTTCCAAAACACCATGAGCATTTTACAAGATTTTTTTTTAAATAAAACAAATGGTTGAAGGATCTTATAAATCATTATTAATTGGATAATCCCGGTTTTTTCCCGGTTAATTAAAAAACCTCTGCCTTATACAAAAAAGACGTTTAAAATTAACCGTTTATAGATAATCATATATTTTTGTCAGCAGAATTGCTCTACAATACGTCTATTCTGTTGAAAAAATATGAGATGAGATTTGCATTAATATGTTGATGATCTAGCTTTCCAAAATTTCATGGAATCATGAATTCGTATAAAATTAAAGAGTCTTGCAAAAATGAGCCTAAATGTTGTTTTGTTAATTCGGAAAAATCATGTATTAATGGTACCTGAACAGGAAAAACGCAGCATTATTTTCTTTTAATCTTCCTGGAGTTTAGATCTTAACGATCTATAAGTCAAACAACATTTTGTGGGATACAAAGATGTGTTACTAACATATTTATCATTCTCATTTTCATTATTGTCTTGGAGATATTTTACAGGTTTATCGAAATCCTGTCCGATTTTCACTGTTGAGCATTTTGAGTCTCCGTCCATAACATAATTTAAAATTATCAATTGTGTTAAAAAATAACATTGTTCGATTATCAAAATCATCCTGCAAATCTGTTCTTGAAGTTCTGCAGACTCAACAAGGCATACGATGATTCGACTTAATTCTTAATTTACCATTCTATGGTAAACCATGGGGAACCCCACAATATCATTGATTTTGATTATTTGGTTTTCCAAAATGCCTCAAGTTCAGATCGTTATTCTTTTTCAATATAGTCACTTTAACACTCTTGGATCATTTGTGACTTAAATTTGAACTCATGATAATGTTGATTACCCCTAGAAAGGTTTGAGCTGGATGAATTATCTCTAAGATAATTAAGTACTTTGTCATTGGCGTGAGAGGTATGGAGTCAGATCTGTATGTTTTACAGACTAACTGAGGTATTCTACCTAAATAATCTGATGTAGCTGGTGAGCATAAAGTGCAGAAATTATTTTTAATTTATTTCTGGACCAATCATCTTAGTTACGGCAATAGTGACCAAATAGTCAATTGTAAATACTAACTGGTAACTTAGACTCTTAACAATTTGGTTGATTTTTTTTTTAAATTTTGGTTAAAATTTGACAGATGGAAAGCTATCGATTAACCCTGCTATCCGAGCGTGGTTATTTCTGACAGACAAGAAGTTAAATTTTGACAACTGTGGCTTAGTTCTTCTCGAAAAACGGTCGATCGACAGCACAGGGATTTTCGAACATAGAGAATAACTTTTAACCACGAGTTAAATTTAACTCGGCAAATGGTTCACAGTCTTAGAAATTCAAATACGGTTTGATATTGAAATAAACTTTTATTTTATGGAAATTAAAATCAAATTTCATAAATTCCTTCAATTTAATCGAATCTCATAACGAAATCTCCTGTGAAGAACATTTGAAAGGATTTTAATAATTTACTTTTGTTTGTTGTTTTATAATCTTGAATTTGATTCCGCGTTCGAAATCTTTGATAGTTTACACAGATAACTTCAAAGTTAACTTTGATAGTTCGCTAAGAACTTTTCACATAATTTCTTTAAGAGATGAACAAGCCTATGGCTAAAAATCTCTCTAATAAAAAAAAACATAATTTCTTTAGAATGATCTCAAGAACTTTTTTAGAATAATTCACTTCTCTTAAGCTTAGAGGCTAAAAAGCTTTTACAAAAATAATATTGAATTTTGGAAATTATTTGCAGAACAATCAACAAATTTTTTGGAAATATATCATTTTCGTAGTTGGAAATGCTGGCTTAACATCAAATATCAGAATTAAAATGGACATTTTCTACGATAGATGAGAAGATGAAAGTAAAGAGTTTATAGTTCCGTTATAGTATGGCAGTGTGAAATTTGTATATAGAAAGTAGAAAACGAACAACGGACAATTTTGAGGAAGGTAAGAATCGGATAGAGCATCTCCTTTACCAAGCTCATCCGTTAAAATGAGGGATGGTGAGGGGTGTTTCCACCTACCATCACTGGCAAAAGGGATGATCGCCAATTTGCTCATGTACCTCCGATGTGCAGAAACAGTTGTATCGATTGTTTCACACTCAAGTCGCCATCTGACGTACACAACTACCCGATTCGTACCTTCCTCAAAATTGTCGTTTGCTCGCTTTCTACTTTGTATATACAATTTTCACACTGCCGTAGGGTAAACGCTCCTATAGTTGCGGTACGTTAGTCTCGTTAGGTTCCTATAGGTTGTATATTGAGTCTCCATGCACAACTATAGGAACCTAACGCTTCTAACGTACCGCAACTATAGGAGCGTTTCCCGTACTACAACGGAACTATCCATCACAAAATAACTTTGTGACTCTTATCAGAATTTTTTTGAGATTGAACCTTGAAAACTCTATTCCATTGAAATTCTAGAAATTTATTTCGAACTCTTTAGAAATCTTTTGGAATTTCGGAACTAATTTTGAATTCTTACTAGAATTTGACCTAGAATCCTCACCCAATTTAAAATATATTATAAAAAAAGTTCACCCAATATGAAAATATAATTCTTCTCAGAACTCTCATTAAATGCACTCAGGTATTACTATACAGGTAAACCTGGCTTAATATTTAAGCGGAGATGAAGAAATCGGTCCTCAGAGCACCTAATTTTACATGAGACTTCCGTAGTATGTACTTTGGTATTCTTCTCTGATATATCTTGATGTTATCCCTAGCTACAAAATTCTTAAAGTTTCCAAGGTTTACAATTTATTTTCTGGGAAAGGAGGTATATTTTCCTCGATTTTTAATCGAAATTGAAAGCATTTCCCAATAGTTTTCCTGGTGTCCTGGTGATAAAAAAATAACAAATATGTATATTTTGTTAAAACTACTCTAGACTCTCTTAGTGCCAAGTACTCAATTTAAACATTTTGTTGATATTTTTAAATTTTACTCATTTTAGTAGTGAAAAAGTGACTATTTTTAGGGAAATAGTGACTTTAGTGACTTTTTGGTATAAAAAGTGACTTTTTAGCGACTGGCTACAAAATAGTGACCAAGTCACTAAAAAGTGACCTGCTACCAGCCCTGATGTAAGGAGTTTGAGATCGGACATTTATTTATTGGCATGAATCTGCTTCTTACATTCAAGTAGCTTCGTAACAAGATATGCCTCGCTCAGGCTTTATACTAGAACTTCTTCACTCGGAAAATTGCAGCATAAGAATTCAAACATTTTCTTCTAATGACACCAACAGATTCTAGAAAATTACTCTGTAAGCTATGGTAGTAGGAACAACGGCAAAATCATCGTTTACCCCGTGCGCGAACAGAATGCGAGTGAAAGAAAAGAATATAGTTTTTGTAATTTGGGGATTTTTGATACTTTACATATTGTATGTATATGATATAAAATTGATTGATTCCAAGTGACATTGCAAGTTTTATAAAGGTTTAAATGATTCTTCAAGACCAAATTATGGCCGACAAGACTATGATAAAACCAAAATTGTTACTTATATGATCTTTCCTGGTGCGATTTGGGTTTCCCCGGATTATTCCCGGTTTTTTCCCGGCAACCCCAAATTCCCGGTTTTTTCCCGGATTCCCCGGTTGTATGGACACCCTGGGCCAGTATTCCTCAAATGGCATTAGTTCCGGAGAATTAGCCTGATTCATCTCCTTGGGAACCACTGTGACGCCATTTTCGCTGTACCACTGTTTGGTGGAATTTGAGTG